ACAAAAAGTAATTTAAGCTATTGTAATGTATCCACTCCTAGCAACAGTTCTTATCATACAGTAATAGAACCAAACAGAGACAGCTACCATCACTGCTACTACTCCTATACAAGAAGAAGCAGATACGCCAATCAGACGTTGGAGATTCCACTGTACTAAAACAGGAGTTACATTAACATCCATCATTGTTGTACTTGTGTTAAAAAGTAGTGATATATTCTCCTTTTTGTGTGGGTACTTAGTATGTGCTATTGGGCAGGTACTGTGTTGTGAGGAAACATTGCAGTTCTCATTCAGTCCACTGATATTGATTCTTGTTAGATTAGCTGATAGCCAGATGGTATAGCCCACATTTTTAGCAACGTACCAACCAATGTAATAGAGTTTGTTAGGAGGTAGATAGAATGTTTTATTCTTTACTCCTGTTTTAGGGAGACAACCAGTTTGAGCAACAGGGTGACCAACTGAGCCATAAGGCTCATTATCTTTGAAAATTTTTAAGTCTGCTTTGTTGTCATACAAAAAAAGTTGTGCTGGGCAGCCTGAAGCAACTCCGTTTTGCTGTAACTCGATTGTGAAATTCAATTCGCAAACTGTATTACATATAAGATTGTTTTCACTTCGGTCGTAATGCAGTTCGAACCTTTGAGGAAAAGTAGAATTTCTCTTATCAATTTGCTTTTCAGGAAGCATCACAGGAGTGTATGATAATTGAGACTTAGGGACAACATAGACACTTGCTGTAGCTGAGCTATTAGAAATAAGATTTACTTTATTGACATAAAATTGATCATAGTAGATAGAGGTTACATAGCCATTGTACACACTGATATTCTGAGCATCAAAATTATGAGTGTTCTTGTAGACGAAAAGAAATGTTAATGCAATGGCGGCCATTATTAGAATAATGGTGACTAGGGTACAGGTACAGAGAATGAACCTAGCTCTGATCCCTATTCATGAAAAGGTCAAATAAGTAAATGGTAAAATGTTACGAATGATAATAATTGTCCTGTTTGTTTAATGAAGTCTACTTCCTCATGCACCCATATAACTGTCACAACAATATACATGTACATGCATAAATTTTTGTCACATCATCATTCTATTTATCTTTATTATAATCACATGTACATGCGGTCACAATTCTTAATAATAATTACAGTTCACATTATACTCTCCACACTTAAGCACTCCAATATGCACGCTACATTACAAGCTGTAGCTGTTCAAGTACAAAAGAGTGAAAGGGAGGGGCTGCAGCTTGCAAGACTTAATACTATCGTACATTCATTGAAGAATATAAAGTAAACTTACTTCTATTATTATTCCCATCATTAGAACCTTTAAAACATAAATAATAAATAAAAGCAATATAATAATAAGCTCATACCTTCATCAGAATCAGGTACGTAAACGATCTCAGGTACTTGTATGCTGTGTTGTCCACAAAACACTGTAAGTGGCTCATGAAACTCAAGACAACCAGTCGTTTCTATGCATTCCCTCAACTCTGGGACACTCTCTCTCGTTAGTCTATTCTCTTTGTACAGGCCGTAAAGAAATTTTTCTTTTGACGATGCCTTAGGCAGGCCAACGTTTAACTTGTACTTGTTGAAGGTGTTCGTGTCCATTTTTTTGACTATCTCGGTCATTACCAGCATGAGCCCGAACTCAAAGTCTTCATTGATATTATATGAATGAGGAGTGATGTACTCGTTGAGGCGTGATAGCTTCTCTTCTGCACAGCCGACTGATGAAAGGATGAAGTGCCATACGTTTGGAAGGATTTCTGGATCTAGGTTTTGCTCCATTTTAGTGAGCAGTGTGTCTATGTTCGGGATATTGTCTATGTCCATCTTTAGGAGAACGGAGCAGAGCAGCCTGATGAATTCCAAGTCTTCTTCATCGATACATCCAACCAGCACAAACCCTAAATTTCTATTAGCCATTAGATCTTTCACACTTGTAGTAAAGAGAACTTTTAGAAAAGGTGAGAGCAAGTGAGAGACTGAGAGTTGTGCTGATTCAGTAAAATGCGAGGTAAAATGTCGAGGTAAGTCAAGTGGTGAGGAGGAGCCAGATCTACTTTATAAAAAACAGTAACACCCACGCATGATTGCGAGAAGATAATGCTGTCTCGATTTCTTCTCCGCAGCAGGCCTCGGTTCTCTGAGTCCTTCTTTAGCAAATTCCCTCACCATTGCTTGAGAAACAGCAGCAGTACTGTGCAAGCGACGGGCTCACAGTCCAAGATAGTTAAGAAATCCGTTAGTATCAAACATAAAGATGAAGAAGTTATGAAGAAACTCAAGAGCCTTGAAGCAGAAAGGAGCATCAAATCCAATGTGGCTGAGACAGTGAGATTCAGCTCTGTAGAGTTCTCTGGATCTAAGGAAGACATCCAGTATGTCACAGAAGCCATGGAGCAATTCTACCCTGGTTCAATCATACCTAATTCTAAAAGTGAAAGTACAATTTGACAGTTTGTTTAACCTTTATCTTTCTGTCGTAACAGATCAAGTGATCGATATCATATTAAATCTCAATGACTCTCTGAAGAATCTATTGGAACACAAATCTCTCTCAATGGAGGATTTCTCAAACTTCGTCAAGTGTTTATCAGTAAGTATACAACAACACTGGATTTAAGATTTACTGCATCAAAGTATACATGTACGAATTAATAGTGCGCTGCTTTATTACTAATACCACAGTAGTAGAGTTATAAGTTCATGAGGCATATACTTTATGTTTTTATTTTCATAATTTTAGACAACAGGAGGCCTTGAGGATGCTAAAATTAACATGATAGTCAGGGAACGTCCTTTTTTACAATACGGCTCTGTTAAAGCATACTCCATTGGTCCAACCCAAAACTGCAAGACTGACTCATCTGCCAAAATCCAATTACATCACGATGCAACACAAATCATAAATGTCTCCATTACACATAATCTATGTGATGGGACTAGAGTTGGATATAAAGTCCAACAACAGTTAATGAATGCGTTCCCTAAATATCTCATTGTGTAAGTCTATGTCAATGCAAATAAATAAATAGAATAACTTTTTGTCTTTGTAGGATTGATAGTGTGAGTATTCCAATACCATCCTCAGGCCCAGTATACATAATCTAGCCATAAAACTCTCTTGTGTTATGTACATGATGAAAGTACATATATAAACCCACTATATGCGGAAAGAACAATTTTTCTTTTCTTTGTGTCTCCATAAAATTAATTCATTTTTTGGAAAAAATTATTAATCCATAAAGTTGGAGTAATTAGTAGTGTGGGAAGTGATAAGATAATTAGTACAAAAATGTGTTACTATAAAAGTTCTCCTGATGTTCTACAAATCTCCATAAACTTTGGAATAACTTGAGCAATGTGAGTCCTATTGGGGATAGAATTAATTAATAAGTGAGTAACAGAGAGGGAGAGAGATTGAAGGAAAACAGTGACACAAATACATTATGCATACATATAATATATGTGTGTGTGTGTATTACACATAATATCATACATATTATATTATAAGAAAAGAGAAAGATAGCAGAGAGAGGAGAATGGACTTGCTTCATTCTCCATGCTTTCTCTTCAGCGTCCCAATGAGAACTATAAGGCATACCCTCCAATATGTATTGAAATGGCCGTCCATCATATTTATGATAGATAGAGTAGAGAGAGAGAATGGGGACTTCACTGGGAAAAGCTTCAGTCAAATTTACTAAAATAATAACAATAACATCACCTATATACACAATTATACACACAATTACACATGTACATAAATGTATGTACATAAATGTATAAACATGTACTTTATATGCAGTTCATAGCTTACAGTGTGCAATGAAGCAAAACCCTTGATTTGACTCAAAAAGAAAAGCAATCTTCATGTAGCTCTCGGTATCATACTCCAGTACTGATTGCCCCATTAAACCCAGCAGTGCTGCTATGTACTCCTTACGCCTTACAAAGTTCTGTACTATACCTTCGACCTTTAAAATAGAACCAAAACATTATCAGCTACACAATTATTATTAATAAAGATAAATTTAACTAAGAGTACATAATATATAAAGAGAGTATCGAACGGCCCTATAGAAGACTACTGCATGAGGGCGTATTTGCTCAAAGTCACAATCCGCATACTCCAGTATACTTATTATATCACGTGATCCACCATGTGGCAACATTATCTGGCCCTTAGCTTTTAAAAACTTGGCAATCTCTTCCAATACGAGAAAGGAGCTCGAATGAAGGCTGGAAAGATGAACTACAAAGGCAGTGCTGCTAGTATCCAGGAGTTTGTGCCCCAAGCACTTGCCAACTCATGACAATGGCAACTCGATGTCTACGCGATAATTATATTCATTGATAAAGTATACTGGAGTATGCGGATTGTGACTTTGAGCAAATACGCCCTCATGCAGCAGCTTGTATAGGGCCGTTCGATACTCTCTTTAATATTATATACTCTTGATTTAACTAAGAGTACATAATACCAATACTATCATAAATTCATAATACGCTTGATTTAACTTAAGTTGCTCAAAATATGCTACAGTACTTATTATATTGGTATAATTTCTACATTATTATCCTCCAAACCTTTTCTTGGAGTATTTTGTGTACATTAGGGACATAGTCCATGAGGTAAGAGTCCTCACTGTTCCAACTAGGAAGCTTAATATTAGCAGCACTACCCAATATCCTAAAACATTAAAGGAAGAATATATAATTTAAATTAATACTGTTTAGTTTCACAAGCTTTTTCATTTTAGTTTCATGTATAGTGTACATGTACAATTTATGTACATGTATTATCATAGTACACTAAAAGTATTATAGTACTAGTAAGTTACCTCTCAATAGAAGGTGATAGATAGAGACTGATATCAACTTTACTGGCATTTGGTGGATGAAAGACAGCAGTCAATGCTGCAAAACTAGCACCAGGATTATCCTAGAGAATAATGGAGCCTGTCATATACATGTACACATATGTATGAATGTTCGTTTGTGCTCTTACTTTTGAGAGATAAGCAGGTAAAGTAGAGAAATCCACTTCAAGTCTAATGTAGAAGGTGGTGACTGGTTCACTTTGCTATAAAGAAATACTAATTACAATAAAGAAATGATTATTAGCATAACGTAACTTAGAATTTACTCCTATATTTATACAGTACTTTAGATTGTCAATACATGTATAAAAGAAGCTCAAGGAGCAATTCATGTATTATTCCATACAAAATTATTCTTTAAAGCAACATAAAATCTACATAATTATTACTAATCTATTATAATAATGTAAATACGAGTACATGTGTTCTTGCCTTAGTGGTAGGTGGTTGGCAGTGTATGTCAATCTGACTCAACGACATGTTACTCTCTTTAAGTGTGTTATATTCAAAATTGAGTCTTTGATGAGACGATATGAGGGATTTATGGTGTCGCCGGTATTCTTCTAATAGTTCCTCAAGCAGGTGAGAGAGGGAGAGGTTGTCTTTGTGATTCCAATCCACAAGTGACTATAGAATAATAATGAAAATACTAATGTTGCAGCCTATAGCTATTTTATAGTCTTTCAAAGCAATTTTAAAAATTCATAAAAAATTCAATTTTGATCGGATTCAGCTCAAACTTTCTACACAGCATAAAAACATGTACATGCATTTAAAAAAATTATAAAAATCCAGGATTCTCTCCTAGTCATTTTTGACGAAATTTGACCAAAGACCCTGTACTATAGTACAGGGACTTTTGCCTGATTTTGGAGCAAATTAAAAAATTCGTAAAAAATCCAATTTTGATCGGAATCAGCTCAAATTTGCTACACAACATAAGAACATGTATATGTATCAGAAAAAATTATAAAAATGAAGAATTCTCTCCTATTAATTTTTGGTGAAATTTGACCAAAGACCCTGTACTATAGTACAGGGACTTTGGCTCGATTTTGGAGCAAATTAAAAAATTTATAGTCATTTTTGGCAAAATACCCTCTACTACAGTTTAGGACACAAAACAGTACATGTACAATATTCCTTACTTGTAAGTTATCGATTTCAGGGTCAAAATTATTTATATCATCGTCTGCACTCCAGACAATATCAGGAGGTTCAGTTGGGTACTTGTGATTAAATATAACCTCCCCTAATAAGAATAATAAAAAATTAATAATAATATAATATGCAATAATATTACACATACACACTCAATAGTAATGAGTGTGCTTACATTTAATGTGAGAGCCACAGTAAGGGACTGATACGGTGAAACGATCACAGAGCTTATCTGTAGGCCCGTTAATTAGACTACAAGAAGAAATTAATTTTAAAAAATAATGATTACTATTAATTCTAAAGGTATGCCTGCCTGCTTTTGACTCCAGTGATAGCCATCATCCCGCCTTGTCCATTAATCTTGTCATTTCTGAAGCACTCCTCTACTAGCGGGACTAGAACTGGGTGAAGACTCTTCTGAAAAGACATGCTAAGCACAAATAGGCGGGGCTACAATCTATTTGGCCACACCCACATACATATTGAAACTATTATTGGAAAAATAAATTAAAAGCACTAAAATTAATTATATTATCTATTACAGCTTAAAATAAAATAAATAATAATCTACATCTCTAGAGATGACACCCTTCACTAGCATTATTGGTGAGCAGTTCATGTGCTTTTCTGCTTTTTGACTGAGGGCAGGAGAAAGAACAATGAGAGGAGACCAATGACCGGAATAAAATAATAACACCTAAAAACATTTTTAAAATTAATAATATACAGTGCGTAGCTATAAAATAAGCTAAATGAAGCTAATAAAACCAGACAAAATTGTTTATAAATACATGCAGTTAAAATAGAACAGTGGCTCTATAATACTGACCACTTATTATTGCAATTAAGAAAATTCAGCAATAATTATAATTTAATTTAGCACGATAATGATTTAAAACATTAAGCAAGGAGTCCTTGAAGTGAGAAATGTACATGTACATGTACATTTAGATACAAAACTACATGTACAATTATTACACTAGTAATTGTAATGAATTTGAATGGTGAGCTTTTAGTTACAGTATACATAAAGTTAATGATCTTTACTTCCAAATGAAGAATATGTCTTCAAGGAACATCAGTTGGAATGATATGAAGTTGAAGTCTCTCATTAAAGATAGGACAATGATACAGAGTACAGTGTAGGAGCTTTTCATGACACGAGAGCTATCGAATGCATTCTGGGTGATAAACCGTAACTAGAAAAAGGTAAAAATTCAAGTACATGTAAATAAAAAAAATTAATAATAATAATTATTATTATTACCTTACGACCAACTAGTGTACCTAGGCCAGCCACAAAGAAGGATAAGTAATATCCAGGATAGTAACCATGCCACATTGCTGATACCATGTTGGTGAGTAATACAGATTTATTACCTCTGTCATAGATTAACCTACAGAATGCATGGAATAATGTGAAATTATGACTTTTAATAAATTCTAATCTCTACTACATATTCAAAGCAACAGAAAAAGTACAATGAATAAATTTTAAATGAGAGAAAGACAAAGTGAAAATTGAAAATTGATCCCTTTTAATCACCATATAGCGGGAAATTTTGGAGGGAGTTAAATTTGGTGAATTGCTAAATTTTGGTATTTGGCAAATTTTAATTTGTGCCCCCCTGTGCCATCAAGCATGCGTATAATGGCTCAAAATGGTGTCATTTTATTTTGCCAAATGGCTATCAAAACACCAAATTCGCCAAATTTAACTCCCTCCAAAATTTCCTGCTATACAGTAAGTTCCTTGCCTTCTTAGCCAGTTCATTGTTGGTAGGTTCCATCCTGATATCAGTTCACGAGCATTAGTGGCTAGTTCAATCTGATACACGTCAACCATTGTTGTCAGACTCCATCTCTTGGACTCATCACTGGCTAATGAATCATAGCCCAGACCACCAGCATTACATATACCATCAGCTAGCAATGGAAGAACAAAAAATTGAAAAATAATAAAATTTCTTTCTCTCCTACATGTACATGTATACATGTATGCTGATTGCTGAAAGCATTGTTGGTAACATTATGCTGGTTAAATCATTAGTGTATGCATGTACATGTACATGTATATGTACATGGATAAAATGAATTTAGGGCTCACCAATGATGAAAGTGAAGTAGTACTGGCACCTTATTATTGAAGCAAATATTGTAATGTTGAGGAGTCGTCTGGGGAATGACAAATCAGGGTCTGTAATGATACATAATATTCATCATTAAGTAAATGTACACACAGCATATCCATGCACATTTACATCATCAAAATTATAGAGTAAGTTTATCTTTCATAACACTATCTGTACATGTGGATGACAAAATAACAAAAGCTATCATGTGATGCTGCTACACCCACAATGGAGAATAACTCCAAAAAAAGTTTTCTAAGTAACCCTGAAATGGAAGAAATTGAGGATCTACCAGAAATAGATCTGGTAGATAAACTAAAGGCAAAAAGGAGAAGTAAGCTCACATAACACAAAATCCACTAAATCATTTCTTATTCTAGGATATCTATTCAAATTAAAAACATGTACAAGTAGGAACAAATCATTAATAAGTAAGTTGGAATAATGGTATGAATCATTTACTGTCATACACACTATAGCTTTCACTATGATAATTGTTTGGATACTATCAGTTCTTCTCGCAGTCATAATTTCGCTCACATTAGAGAGGGAATACATTGACAACTCTCCAAACAAAGTTACCCCAGTGGAAGGAACACAAGGAGTATCGACCGAATCAAGTGTCTTTACTTATGCTGTATCATACAGTGCTAACAAGACACAGTCAGTTACTTTGGAGTTATTGACACAAAACAGCAAAGTATGGGCCATTGAGGGAGACTGCATCGTGATTGATACAGAGCCTATTGTGACGTACAATCAGACTCTGGCAAACTCGGAAGTACGAAGGTTTGAAGCGGCTTTCTACAAAGAGGGCATGCATGTACCATTATTTGCCTTGGCCAAATAGCTCTCTACTTTACACCATTACAGCTGTCTCTACAGCTGAAAACAAAAATGGATGCGTCTTTCTCTATTTCTTTAATACGAAAGAAGCTCTTGAAGAATTCTTACAAAATGATAACTCTGACAACTTAATGAATATTCAAGGTTATTATAACAATTCTGATGAATGCATTGAGACAGATGGTATACCACATGATGCGTTCTTCTCAATAAACGTCACTGGAGAAACTTTTGTCGGTATAGCAGTGAATGTGAGCGCTAATATAACGTACACTCTCAAAGGAACAATAGTCGAGTATAATACCTCGAACTGTACACAAGGTGACACTTACAATTTAACATATAACACGCCATTAAAAATCGACATATGCAAGAGTAGTTTCTGTGCCTTTCAATCAAATGAGACGACCATTGTCATAGACTCGGAGGAACAAGGAGTGCTTATTCACTGGGATCCAAAACCACTGGAACTCACTTTAGCTGTTTGGATCATCATATTTACAATGGTAGGACTGGCAATATTAACCTGTTCCGTTTTCTCCCTTTATTTTGTTGTGGTAAGTTTTATGTACAGTACATGCTAATGAAATTTTACAAATCTTCAATAGAAATGCTTGCGCAAAATACCAAAGAAATGCAAGAAAAAAAGAGGTAAACTACAGTACATGTAAATCTGTTGAGTTTAACTGTGCTAATGGCAAAAACAAAAAATGTAACAGAATGCAAATCTTATACCCACCAACTTATAATTTGCTAGTACATGCACATTTACATGTATAAATGCCTAATAATATCTTATTACAGGGAAGGACCTACATGTATTAAAGGATGAAACTGAAGAAATCATAAAAGTTTTGTATAAAGTGTTGGAGTCTTGTTATGATAATATGAGCACTCTTTTCACAAAAGATATAAATAAAATAGCAGAAAAAATGTTTGAGAATGGCATCATAACAATATATTTGCGTGACGATCCAACATATGATGCTATCATTCAGTCTTTTGTAGGAAGACTGAACATGATGAAAGATATAGTAGACCTTAAGGATCATTGCAGTAGATTTATTAAAAGTATAGACGACATGGAAGAAACCAATGGCAACTGGAAAAAACTAGCCAAGGCTGTTAAAAACAGGTGGAAAGTTGCAATCAACAAAAAGCTGGACATTGACTTTAATGTAGATGTGAAAGAAACAAATTAAACTAATGTAGGCTATTTTGATCTAATCATTTTACTATTTTTGTGCTGCTAAAGCTGATTCTATGCTGAATGTACAATTGTAATTGTTGCATAGTACATGTGAGTCTTATTGATAGTTCATCGAACTATCAACTTTAGTGCTTATGCTCTTAAAATACTTTTAGTTAATTTTTGCTGTGACAACAATTATTAAAATTATCAGTTTGAAAAAAATTAAAATGCATACGTCGGGGAAATGACAAATCAGGATCTCTAACAAAACGAAAATTAACTATAATAATCAATACTTGTTAATAGAACATACATGTAGGTACATGTAGATCAGATTATACTGATAATCAGAGTATCAAGTTAATCTACTGTTTACACTAGTGGTCTTATCAAATTTATTATCTATAAATTCTAATAAAATAATGAAATGCATCATCAAGTGAACACCCACAACTGATAAGAGAGTAAGAGACAAGAGATAAAATAATAGTCCTAAAATGGCAGCAACTCCTTCTGACCTTATATGTACTCCTGAGAATGAAAGGCCTACTAACAGACAAAAAACTGACAACATGACAGATGATCTACCAGATATACAGGTACGGGTAGACCTGACAGATAGAATAAAGGCAAAACTAAGAAGTAAGCTTATAAATGAGCTTATAAATACATGTGCATCACACTGGACATCACACTGGGCCCATTAACAAATTAACTACATGTATTTGTAGGATGGCTATACCAAATTGAAAGCAACAAATTACTTCTAAGTAAGTACATGTACAGTAGCATTAAACAGTACATACTGTATGTTCATGTTATTATACTATGTAGTTGGATTCACTATTGCATTCATTATCTGGACAGCATCAGTCCTTTGCGCAATCATATTAGAGAGGAAATACATTGACAACTCTCCAAATAATATTACCACAGTAGATGGAATGTCGAATGCATTAAATGTCTACACATATGCTGCAACATACAGCGCCAACAAGACACAGTCAGTTACTTTGCAGTTATTGACACAAAACAGCAAAGTATGGGCCATTGAGGGAGACTGCATCAGAACTACTAAGAAGCCTCTTACAGCATACAATCGTACTTTGTTACATGTGCAGAGGTTTGAAGCAGTTTTCAACAAAGAGGGCATACCGTTATTTGCCTTGGCCAATAGCTATCTAATTTACACAATCACGGCTGTCTCTGCTATCAAAAACAAAACTGGATGCGTCTTTTTCTATTTCTTTAATACAAAGGAAACTATTGAAGATTTTCTACGAAGTAATGATCCCAGTAATCAGCTAGATGTTCAAGGCTATTACAACAAGTCCATTAAATGCATCAAGACAGATGGTCTACAACATGATGCGTTCTTCTCGTTAAATTCCACTGGAGAAACTTTTGTTGGTATTCTAGCAAACGTGAGCACTAATATAACATACCGTGTGAGAGGAATAATAATTGAATACAATACTTCAAATTGTCAACAAGAGAGGATTCACAATTTAACATACAACAAGCCATTAAAAATCAATATATGCAAGAACATTATCTGTGCTTTTAAATCAAATGAGACAACTATTGTTATAGACTCAAAGGAACAAGGAGTTCATATTCACTGGGAGCCAAAACCACTGGAACTTACTTTAGTAGTGTGGATCGTGATAATGATAGCAGGACTGCTTAATTTAATTTGCTTAATTTGCTTAATTCTCTATTGTCTGGTAAGTTAATGTACTGTATTGAAATGCTAACTGGTCTACATGTGCATGCATGCAAATAGAAATTCTTATGGAAAAAAACAAAACAGAAAAGAAATATATGTACATGCAGACAAGGTAAGCTACATGTATAAGTACATGGACATTACATGTACACTTTAACATGACTTTGATTTAAAAACAAGATGTTAAATTTTAATCAACCACTTTATGCAAAGAACAAATGAGTATAAGATTTGCTCTACAGTACATGCACATGTACATTTACAGTCAAATCTACAATTTGTGTCTAAAGGGGTACGAATAGATGAAAAGAGGCTAATAGATGAAGACAGACCAAGAGATGAAGAGAGGCCAAGAGATGAAGAGAGGCCAAGAGATGAAGAGAGGCCAAGAGATGAAGACAGACCAAGAGATGAAGAGAGACCAAGAGATAACATAAGAGAAGAGGAACAAGATGAAAGGGATCAAAGTGAACAAAGAGCTGAAGCTACAAAAATTGCAGCTATTTTGTGTTCAGTATTAAACTCTTGTCATGACAATATGAGCACACTCTTCACAGAGAAACTAGACAAAATAGCAAAAAAGATGCACAAAGAGAAACTCATAACACACGACTTGGATGAAAAGCTTACATATGATGCCGTCATTACATCATTTGAAAGTACGCTAAAGTTTATGCTCAACAAGGAACAACTTGAGAAACATTGCGACAAATTACTTTCATGCATGAAAAACATGAAGGAGGGCAACAATCAGAAAAAATGGGAAAAATTAGCTGACGCTATTAAGAAGGGATGGGAGCAAGAATCACCTGGTTTTAAACTGGAGGAAGGTCTTAGAATAAATTTAGATGAACATGAACGTGATGGACCAGATGTCTAAAACAAAATACATGTACATGTAGAAAATATTTTATTTTCCTTATTTCCTTATTTTACTTATTTTTGTACATGTATGTACATGTACATTTGTACATGCATATTGTATAAGCTGTTAAGCATGCACATGTACATATGTATAAATATACATGTTTATTTATATGTATAATTGTACAGTACATCCATTTAATAAAGAAAATGATAGAAAAATAATTCAGAATGTGTATGTGAACAAGCAAGGCTGAATAAAGGCAGAACAACAGGCACATTACCAAAACCATTACCATTACATTTACTTACGAAAAAAGATTTGAAAGTAATCAAAGTATAATAAAATCACACTATAATTCAATGTCAACTGGACCCACTAATCAAGCTTAAAAATATAATAGTGCAGCTATGCTACAACGTACATATACATGCATCAAATGCGCTCTACAGCTTTTGATTGATTGGGCATCAAACGCATTGTACAATTTATCAATCGTCAAAAAATTAAAGTATATAGTACAATACCAGCACAAGCTTACCCAGAACAGTACATTTTTAATAAAATTATTGGACACATTGCTATTATTATTTGGAACTAACCTAATAGTAAGTTCTTGTCTAGTCTCTGAGTATTTAATACAACAATGGATAGGAATAAAAGAGAAACTGATGCTTTCTTTAGTACAGGAACCAGTGGACTTGGATCAGAACCTGTTACCTTCAAAATAAAATAAAAATAAATTAAGTTAATTAGTATCCACACGTACATGTACATGTACATATGTACATATACATGTATTCATAATACATAAAGTACATGAGTACACACAAATAATGTTAAACATTGTACTAAAGTCTAAATAGTAAATAATAGTAAATAGTACTGTTGCTATCTTACTTGCTTTGCTCTGATCATATTATTTCCAGTAATGAAATCATCATATTCTCTATATGTGGTGGTGGGGCCAGCTAAGAAGGTCATGAAACAAAAATTATAACTGAAATATTCCAATAGGGAAGGTATGGAACTAAAAATAAAGACAAAAATAGCAAATAAATATATGTACATTGTACAATACATGTACATGTACATAAAGTTATAATTAATTTTATTGATACTAGCATAACAATTATTAGAGGCAAAGGTCAGTATTATATAAACGAACTAACTCTATTTTATGTCTCTTCTGATCTTCAGTTAGTTTTGACTCATCTCTAGCTACTCCTACAGAAAAAAAGAAGAAAAAGAAAATAGAAATGTACATGTACATGTAGTGGTAGATCATAAAGAGAGAGAGGAAGAATCAATAGCAACAATTACCATCATGATAAGCATAAGCAACATAGGAGACCCTTTGAACCAGGAGCATCAGTGGACTAAAGGAAGGAGGAAAAGAAGACAGTCATAAAACCACCATGTACATGTACATATGCGTATGGATGTCGTTATAAAATAAATTCAGTGTAGCTGTTCCATTTTAATAAAATAAACATAATACATGTACATGTACATTGTAATTATCATCTTTGTATAATCATAGTAAAATTTCTATGTACATGTACTGTATTGGTCCATGCACTTACCCAGTAAAGTCAAGAGTGTATCCTCCATAATCAGTTATTAAACGATAAATGTGTCCAGTACTAATACTAATGAGAGCATATATCATTGAATATCTAATGAGAGAGAGAGAGGGGGGGGGGAGAGGGAGGGAAGGACAAATACAAGGAAGGAGGAAGAAAGAAGGAAGACAGGAAATAACAATAACCACAATGAATTAAAAATCAGAGTTACTAATTAATAAATAACAACAATAGTATAATAATCAAATAAAAATAAAATCAACCTTCAGTGACCCAAACTTTCTTCTAATTTGGATACTGTATATCTTGCTTAATGATAAATGTATGACGTATGCAACTCTCAAATTAATAACAAATTCACAACAAATATACATGTATGTATGTGCTACTATGTATAACATGCAAATTCATTATACCTAACCATAAACATAGATTGTGCATACATGCACATGTACATGTACACTGATGTAGAGCATGGTTAATGAAGCATTATGTAGATTAAGTCATCTCGTGCATTAATGATTATAGGAATTTTAAGAAATAGTGGACATAATCTATTTTAGAATAACATTATTATTATTGTGGATCAATTTTTTGCAGTTTTGACAGCTGTGGTAACAAGGGGTTGTGGGTGAATCTAATTTAGAAAATCATGACAATGAAACCTTCATGCTACAGTATTTACTACTATTGTACTATAATTAAATCAGAATTTAATCATACGTTACCACATTCAAAAACACACCATAAACTCATGCATCCCATATTAACAAAGCAGCTAAGTCAAGTATCAGGTTATATACAAGTATTAATGAAACTCGCCTTTGTACAATGGATGGTGGTAGAGTGACTAGTAATATGTAACCAATTAATACAAACCCTATCAGATAAAATACCTGCCTACAAAAATATTCAAAAATATACATTATGATTTATGTACCATTGGAAACATATCCATCCAAAGAAGAGGCCGAGTAGAGCAGATACAGTGTGTCTGATGGTAGGACTAGTGTATGAATAATGAAGAACAACACGGAGGAGGGTAGCCAATGGAAAAGATACAAGGAACAGGGTCACATAGCGGACCTAGAGTATTAATACAAATCAAGGTCTCTCTGAGGGTATGAAATAGACTTACTTTGTCTACAGGGACACTGAGAATGGTTGATAATTCTTCAAATAACTTATCCATTTTTCTTCAGGCTAGTATAATGCGGAGATTTATCATTTAAAAGTTAAAACTCATTAAAAGTTGCCATGTTGTTAATGCTATGGTATGCATGTTATTGAAAATCAATTAATTAATTTGCATAAATAATTATCTAAAGTATCCGGAACCAGATTCCCGGAAGTATACAAAAACCACGTGGTTTATGAAAAGGGCGTGTCAAATAAAACCACGCCTATTTTTATTAATTAGTTTTTAAAGTTGCTGCATAGAAAGGGCCGTTTCTCTTTCTAAATCCAAGGTATCTTTACAGTATATGCAGATGCTGCCTCCTTTTTAAGTTTGATTATAAATGCAATCATTTATAATTTTTAATAGCAGCTTCCTTAATTGAATTCCTCTGCTATCTTAATTATATTAATTATTCTATTTTACAGATGCTGTCTTGCTTTTTATGGATCTTCTCTTTTACCATTTCTTTCACTGCATATTCAATATCACAAATGTCGCAGCATGCAGCCAATGGACCACCAATAACCAACACAGGTAATCAGAATAGAGTGATTATGAATTTATGATATTATGTATATACGATTATAAATTTTTTACCTGCTGTCTATATTGTGAAAGTATTGGAATTATTTTACATTAATTATAAATTGTACAATATTAATTATTGTTTATTATCATTATTATTATTATTATTATGTTGATAGATGACGCCATTTTTTATGATCCTGAAAGAGTATTTGCTCCATCGTCGCTCGATGACATCAGAGGACTGATACACAAAGCTCGTAAGAACGGTCACAAAGTTCGGCCATTGGGATCAGGACATTCATGGAACACTATGGCGGTATCAGACGACATATACATATCATTGTATAACTACCGTGGACTGGTGAACGTTGATACTGACAGGAAGCAGAGTAAGTAATGCAAGTTATATGTACATTTAAGCCTTTTTATTAGTATGATCATTTTTATTTTTCTTAATTCTTTTAGTTATGGGTACTTTGTGGTAATAATTAAAATTATAATTATTATTTGTATTATTTTAATGAAATTACTAAGTGCTAAAGTGTAAATTTAGATTTTAAATGTAATTCAAAGTGTCTTATTTTGCTTTATTATTATAAATGTTGTGACAACTAAACCGATTTCTTTTACTTTCACTTTTAATCTCCAGTTACTGTTCGTGGTGGTACTAGACTATGGGAGCTGAACAGGTATGCTAGCAAGTATGGGCTAGCAATGACAATATTACCATCAATAACTAACCAAACTATTGGAGGAGCTATTGCAACAGGTAAGTACTACCATTATGCATTAAAACTATTCTTTTTTAATGCTATCAAGTTACCTGCATGTACGTCTGTATCAAGGATTGATACTAGTATAACATTGAAATTTTTACCATATCAAGTTACTTATATCAAGAGTTATGATATTAGATCTCTTATACATGTACAGTCAGTAGGTAAAATGTTATAATACCTCTCTCCACTGTATTAGTACAACTCTTTTACTCCTAAAGTTGACAGGTAGTAACAGCCAGCAATGCTGAATACTATAAAGTGATGGTTGTCACTGTTTTGTAATCAAGTGGCCAAGTTTTTGTTATCTTTAGAAATGAGTGTACAGTTACATAAGGAGTTAGCTACATGTATGGTTTTTGGACCAGTGTATTTTAAGTATAACTTTCTTGTATATGTACATGTACATGTATAACGCTTAGATTGTCAAGCAAATTATTAGATAGAAGCATGTGTGTGTGTGTGTGTGTGTACTTGGCAGTGATCAGTGTGAAGAAGTCATTGAAGTATTCAGTATTACTATAAGCTGTAGTAGAGTGAGTCATTTCCTTATAAAATGGCCATCTACATCAAAGTATGATGATGGAAGAAAGAGCATTTTATGCTGAACGCTATAAATTAAACTATGTACATATACATGTATACATTAAAATGTAATATAAAGGTAGTATTCTGTTATACAGTGTATAATAAAAGCATAACTTTTGCCTGTTGGGAAGAATTTTGATTATATAATGATATTATTTTGGACTTGTGATGATCATGAAATATTCTTGTAGGCACTCATGGCAGTGGAATCAAGTATGGGAGTCTGTCAAGTTTTGTAGTTGAGTTGGAACTTATCACTGGAACAGGAAAAGTACGAAAATAATATCTTCAATATTATTGTATTTTATATTTTTCTTTTCCGCTTTTACATGTAGATATTAACATTAAAAAGGAATGACACTAGGCTGTTTGATGCTGCTGGCGTCAGTCTCGGTCTTCTTGGCATAATCACTAAAGTGACACTCCAATGTGAAGAAGCTTTCAATCTACTGGAAGTTAGACATACTTATTCCCTTCAGCATTGCCTGGATCAGTATAAGGATATCGTTGGAAGTTCACAATATGTGAAGTTTTGGATTGAGTTCAATTCAAAGGCTTGTGCTGTATACACAGTTAATAGGACAACTGAGGAGCCTAGAAATAGACCACCTCAACCTCTTAGTGATATATTGGTAAGGAAATGCATGTACATTGTACATGTCCTTTGTAAAAAGGAAAGGCACGTGGATTTTTTCTGAAAAATTGCTCTAAAGTCACCCCATTTTTATTACATTTTCTGATACACATTGATGCCCTTATGCTGTGTAGAAAGTTTGAACTGATTCCAACTTCAGTTTTTCAAGTTATGGCCATTTTAAGAAAACGCCAAAATTCTGAAAAATACCTAAGGCTATAGCCCATGGTTTTTTCCAAAAAATGGCTAAAAAATCACCCCAAATTTTTATTACATTTTCTAATACATATTAATGTCCTTATGCTGTGTAGAAAGTTTGAACTGATTCCGACTGAAATTTCTCAAGTTATGAGCATTTTAAAAATTTGGCCATTTTCTGAAAAATACCCTGTACAGCCCTGGTTTTTTCCAAAAAATGGCTAAAAAATTACCCCAAATTCTTATTACATTGTCTAATACATATTAATGTCCTTACACTGTGTAGAAAGTTTGAACTGATTTCGACTGAAATTTCTCAAGTTATGAGTATTTTTAAAATTTGGCCATTTTCTGAAAAATACCCTGTACTATAGCCCATGGTTTTTTTCGAAAATTGGCTCCAAAATCACCCCAAATTTTTATTACATTTTTTGATACACATTGACGTCCTTATGCTGTGTAGAAAGTTTGAACTGATTCCGACTTCAATTTTTCAAGTTACGGCCATTTTAAGAAAACGTCAAAATTGTGAAAGATACCCAAGGCTATAGCCCATGTTTTTTTCAAAATGGCTTTAAAATTTTTATTGCATTTTTGATACATATTGATGTCTTTATGCTGTGTAGATATGCATAATATATTTTTTCTCTTTTTCTATTTGTAGACAGTAATTTTAGAATTGTTTCAGCTTTTCTTCTCAGTATTTCCATCAACGGCCAATACTGGAATGAAGCTGTTATTCAAATACGCAGACGTTCTTCCAAACCAAATTAGAACTGATTATAGTTTCAATGTCCTCCCCATTCCCAATTACATTGATGAGTATCACACAGAGGCTGAATTTGCTGTCCCCTATGATGACTGCTCTAGAGCTATTAGTGATGTTCTGAGAGTGAAGGATGAGCATAACATACCACTGAATCACATTATAGAGGTCAGTAACTTCATATACATGTACATGTACATGTATATACTCACAATAAATTATTGTACATACATATACAACATGTACATATTATTATGATTAATGGTAGCAGTAATATTTTTATACTAAACTCTTAGCATATAGCAACGATTCTTATTTTTACATGTTCTTTATACAGGTACGTTTTGTGAAGGGTGATAGTTTCTGGCTGAGTAATGAATACCAGAGGGACAATTGTCACGTTACGCTGTTGCTGCATAATCCAAGTGATTATTACACTCGCTTGTATTTTAATACTTATTATCAAATTGTGCTGAAATATGGTGGAAGGCCTCACTGGGGCAAAGTACTGGCTATGTCACCCGATGAAGCAAGAAGGCTTTATCCCAAGCTTGATGAGTTTATTGAAGTCTATCGTAAACTTGACCCTGATAGAATATTTGCCAATGATCTTTTAGAAAGCATACTAGGAGTTTAAATCAAATTCTGTACAGAAAAATTATTTTAATAATTTTTTTGACTATTATTTTAAATAAATTTTTGAATATTAAAAATATTGAAGGGAAAGTTAGAAACACTAGTAATGCTATATTGTGGTGGTGCTTGGTGGGTAATTATTGTTCAAGAAATGTCTTTAATGATAGTTCAGTGTCTTTCCATTGACTGCACCCACTGGCTTTCTGTTCTGTACTAATGTGTGAACTTTGCACTTGTATAAGTTCCTGGCAGGTGTTTGGAAGCTTTTGATCATAAATATCCATCAATACAGCCAATTCCATTCAATAAATCTTCAAAAAGTTCTTTCTACAATGGATGAAGATATTCACAGTAAGATGAAAGGGTTTTATATATGCAATAATAATCTACCTCTATTTTTTAGATTCAGTATCAAGAGATTTATCTAGCCCTTCCAGCAATTATGGTGGCCAATTCACAAGAGTAGTGCCATCATCAGCAAGAAGGAAACCAGCTTCCCTTATGACAACCCCCAATCATGCCAATGGAGCATCAACACATGCAACTCCCTTAACAAAATACCGTCCTCCACTATCAGTCAACACTACACCAGGAATGAATGGAAGATATGGGACTGGTGCTGGCTCGTACTCCAGTCTAGCATCTACAACCAATCCCATGCACAGAAATCCTCTAATATGCCCGTTATGCTTGCAATATTTCACAGACCCGATCATGCTCCCTTGCCTTCATTCGTTTTGCATGAAATGCATTGATCAATTGAAAAGAGAGAGCACCCAGAACAGTTCATTAAAGTGCCCCACTTGCGGTTCAAGTAAAGGTCTGAGCTGTGAAATGAGCATCAAGCAGTTACCAAAAAATTTGTGGCTAGCCCATCAAGTTGAAATAGCCACATATGAGGATAAATTAGGAAGCGGGTCTCATGATGTTCCTTGCGATCGCTGTGTCAAGCAAGCAAATGGATTTAGTATTGTGTTCTGCTCAGAGTGCTGCTTGTTTCTCTGTCGCTCTTGCTCTGATGATCACAAGTGGTGTAAAGACACAGTCAAGCATGATCTAATAGATGTTGGCAGAGCATTAAAACGCAGTAAAAGCAATCCTACTGCTGCTGCTAAAGCTCCTATTGTTTTACAGTCTAAGCCGGTCAAATGCTCAAAGCACTCTGGAGAAAATTACAAGTTTTACTGTCAGAGCTGTGATGTGCTCATTTGCCAAGAGTGTATGGTTCATGAGCACAAGGGACATGAGAATATCTACTTAGAGCAGATGGCATCACAGTGCAGGTCTGAGCTTCAGGAATGGTTGGACAAGTGTAATTATGCACTAACAGATCTCGATATTGCTATTGGGAATGTAGAAGAGATGCACGAGCTGCTCCAGGAGAGAAAGAAAGAGGTTGAAAATGAGATTGATACAAATTGTGAGATGCTTCATAAAGCACTTGAAGAAAGGAGGAGGGTACTGCGTGAGAAATGTAAAGATATTTCCGAAGGAAAAGCTGATGTTCTTCAATCTCAAATGGAAGCATTTCAGAGAATCAGACAAGTCACTGAGCATACGATTATAGAGTCTTCCAATGCCATCACAAATCAATCATCAGCCGAAGTCGTCTCCACTAAACGCGTCATACTGGAGCAAATGAAGCAAGCATTTAACCAGTTCCAGCAAATGTCGCTCAGCTTGAGTTCAGACGATGTCATCACCACAGCATTCAATGTGACATGTGTGACTGAGCGTATCTCACAATTTGGTTCTTTCACTGATCTCTGCATACCACAGAAATCAGGAGTACAGCATGGCCTGGCTATTCCTTATGCTGTAGTGGGTAAGAAGAGACAGATTAGGATTGTAATGAGAGATGACTGTGGCTTACCTATGAAGAGCTTGGTTCCATTTCAAGTCAGCCTTGTTGGTAAAGGTGAGCAGGAGTCAATCACACAGAAAGTTGATGTCACTCAGTGTCAAGATGGCAGTACTGAGCTATCCTTTACCCCCATCACTTCAGGATACTTTCAACTATTTGTTAGCATTAGGAGTGAGGGGATTTCTGGCAGTCCTTTTTCATTGCATTTTCGTGAAGAGAGGAATTACTGCTACATGGAAAAATCTCCTCAAATATTCTCCGTGGGTCAGCATACATATGGCGTTGCTGTTCATCATTCAGGTGATGTTTTTGCCAGTAATAGCGTGAGTGGGTGCATTCAAGTTTTCAACAAAGATGGTACTGAGAAAGATAAGTTTGGTAAGCAAGGCAGTGGAAATGGGCAGCTAAGCAAGCCATGGGGACTAGCATTAGATCGAGACGTATTGTATGTAGTTGATAGAGGAAATCGACGGATTGTCCTCTTTTCAGCTATCAATGGTGAGTACCTGGGTCAATTTGGAGCAGCAGATCTAACTGATCCAATGAGCATATGCTTAGATAATTGCGGGCATGCATTCGTAACAGATGGGCCCAAACAAGCCATACAAGTGTTCAGTACAGAGGGTGTATACAAGTACACAATACAGTGTAATACTTATCCTTATGATGTGGCCATTGACAATACAGGATACATTCATGTCGCATATTACAATAACACGAGTGTACAGCTGTTCTCATCAGAGGGAGGGAGGAAGAGCTCGCTATCATCACCACAGACACAGCATTCATCTATTGCATCACTCCTCTCACCACCTCATTTCAATATATCGGGATCAATAAGTATGGTCAGTGACTTGATTACAGGTATGTCGCATCGTAATGGTAAAGGCTCGTCATCAATTAAACAAGGAGGAGGAGGAGAAGGAGGTGGAGAGTTTATAGGAGGGGAAACTCAACAGTTGCAAACTACCAATAAACCATCAAGTGCCACATTCAATAACAGCTGCATTCAAGTATTCTCTCCAGATGGCAAAAGAGGATTGTACTCTTATAGCACTGATGAGAATCTTGTGTATCCTACTGGACTAGCAATGGACGATGAAGGATATCGTTTCATAGCTGATTCTAATCATCATTGCTTGCGTGTGCTCAATCCAACTGGTAAGGAGATTCATCAGTGCACTGGTCTGAACTTTCCTTATGGTGTTACCATTGATGTTACAGGCCATGTATATGTTGCTGATTCTAGCAATCACAGGATTGTAAAATATTGATTTTGCAAGCATTGCTGTTTTTATTGTAATGTCAATCTATTCAAACTTCTATTGAAAAAAATATTTAAAAAAGATATTAATATCTACATGTACATTAACTTAGCCAAACAATTAAAATTAAAGCACTTTACAAAAATTAGTAATTAATTAATATGTATATACTTGTTTTTGAAGCAAACTTAATTGGACATCCATTCAAGAAGAGGTTCACGAGCCTGAGTATAATCACCTGTATCTTGTATATCATTATAATATGCAACATGGCGTCTTTGATTTGTTGATGGTTGTACAGTTTCTTTTTTCTTGAATATCTTAGAAAATAATGTCCTCATAGACTGCAAAAGTAGGATTAGTTTGTCCAGTTTATTTGCCACCAGTAGGACATGATAGGTGATGATTAGGAAGAAGATAATGATAACTAGGCAAAAAGAAACTGAGATATAAATTGCAACTTCTTTGGGATAATCATGGAAAAAATATATAGCTGTGTAAAATGTAGCACTGATGGTTAGAAGAAGGAAAATGTTGACAGCATTAAGTAGTTTGTTTTTAAAAGGCATAAAACAAGCTTGAGATACAAGAAATACTTGAAAAGTTAAAAACAAAAGTAAATCAAAAAGCAAGGAGAATCGCAAGTTTTTCAATTCTTGTATTGTATCAATTAGATACACGTATAATACAAAAAGTTGATTTATTGCAAACCAGTACCACTTATTGGCTTTGTAAGGTGCATGGATTGCTTCAAAGAAGGGACGAATGTATTCTCTTGATCTGTCAAGTTTCAGTAGACATTTACCAAAAAGTATCACTACCATATATGGAA